TCGTGATCTATGACCTCAAACCCTAGCTGTCGTCGCGATCTGTGGTCTTAAACCCGCCTTCCTTGCCATCGCGATTTGAGTTGGGATGAGCAGCGACCGACAATGGTGGCTAGGTGGTGGTGGCAAGAGAAAGAGAGAGAGAGAGAGGGCTCGTGGCGGTGACTTTGGATTGAGGTTGTTTGAAGCTGCTAGGGGTGGTTGACTGTGGGGGTCGCGATGAAGTTGACAAAAAAGTGGCTCTGGATTGGAGTTGACCAGAGAGTGGCGCCGGTGGTGGAGGTTGTGGCCGGAGCTGACAATGGTTGGGTTAGGAATGTGGGTTAGAGTGAGGGTATAGTTGGAATTAAGGTGAGGGTTCAAAGAGAAAATGGAGGGGTCTCATTTAGCTGGATGGGGGTTCAAAGAAGTAAAGGGTCCAAAGAAGAAAGAAATGTGCTAATAGCAGCATTCTTTTGAAAATTTAATTCCTATTATACCCTAATGTAATAAGGACACACATATTAAATTTTAAAATAAAATATTATTATTTTCTTATGATACACTCTAATCACATATACGTATTTTTTATCTTATTTTCCAAGTTTCAATTGTTTTTTTCTTTATCTTCTTCTTCAATCTAAAACTCCAAACCACTCCACCAAAACTCTCCAATATTATCAATATCATCATTTATTATCCTTGTGAATAAAAGAAAGTTTGAATAAGATCAAACAATTGATAAAAATAATAATGAAAACTGTTTTTTGAGATAATTCATCAAAGAGGAAGTAAGGATTTGCATAATGAAAACTATATTTTGAAAAAATCCATCAAAAAAGAGGTAAGTATTCACATAAATATTAAAGTACCATTCTTGATTTATTGTGTTTTTTTTTTACATAAAAATGAATATTCAACCTGTTTAATGTCATTGCTGTTCAAATTTGTACATTTGAATAAATTCACTTTGTTCAGTAGTAAGCTGTCAAACAAAGTCAACATGTTTAAATTTGAAAGTCCAAACAAAATAATATTGTTCGGCATTGTAAGTCTGAATATGATAACTTTATTTTTATTTAGATATACCTTAAAGAGTAATTTAGAAAAAATTATAACGTGTACTAAGAATAATATAAAACCTTAAATAACTAAACATAGTGTACTGAGAAATTAAGAGTGCTTAATATTTTTTAAGTGTAAATAGAATCCTTCCAAACAAAAAGGCCTTCATGTGTCAGGCCCAAGTCACATAGGCCCTGTTTGGCAAGATAATTGGAACTAAATTAGCCTATTAAATGATAAAATAGGTTAAAATGTTAATACGACAAAATATCACATTCAAATTATAATTATTTCACTTTTTGTCTCAAAAAATTATAAAAAAGTCAAAAGTTTATCTCAAATAAACTTTTTTTAACCAAATTAAAATAACTAAAAAATTAAAATATCACCTGAAAAAAAAGTAGGAGATGATGCATTGTTAGGCCCATGAGGTCTATCTCGGGTCCGTTTCGATAATCTGAACCGTTCAATATGTAAAACTTGTTGAGTACTTTATACTTTTAAAAAATCACGTTGATCGAATAACGGTATCCCTGTGATTGGAATATATTTTTGTTAATAATTTATTTTTAAAATCATATTTATTATTGAAAAAAAATATTTCCGATCAAGAAATTATTAATATCTAATCAACGTAATTTTTTATAAATATAAAATATTTGATAAATTATACATATTAAATAATTAAAATTATTAAAATAAGATTTGTGATAGATTCCGTGGACCCAGAGAAGCCTCTCCAGACAAATTATTCCCAAAGGAAAGCGTAAGTGGGTGGGAACGGATTGCTTCGAGTTTGACCGAGCCGTCCAAAGAAAAAACGGATAATGACGAGAATTGTAGAAGCGTGTCCATTAGGTATCTGGCGGGATGCTATCTATCTATACTATTATAAAGTGAATACATAATATGATGTCGTGAAGCTTGCTTTACTCTCCTCATGCCATGTGGCAGTGTTTTTTATTTTTTTAAAAAAAATTAAAAAAAGAGATGGGCAAGGCTTGAACCCATGACTATGGGTTTAAGTATGAGCACTCATACCACTTAAACTAACTACACATTATAATATTAATTTCATTATTATTTTCTTTTATTTCTATTTATTTAATTTGCATACACATCGTGTGTGCCCAACCACTAGTAATAATAACGTGAAAAACATTTGGGACAATTGATAAAAATGGTAAAGTTTTAAAATAATTGTAAAGAGGTAAAAATATAAGATCACTTATACAATTTAATATATAAATTATTTATATTTTCGTGATATTAAAATTATTTTGTGTTGAGATTATTATTATTATTATTATTATTTTTTTGCAATTCTCCCAAAAAATTTTAGTTCTTAAATTATTTATTTATTTTTTTTTTAGTTCATCTAGTTGAGTAATACAGTATCCATAGAGGTCGACCCTCTGGTTCGTTGCAACGACGAAGAAGAAAGAAAAAAAAAAAAAAATCAAAAAAACCCCCAAAATGACGTCGTTTTGGGGAGCTGCTGGGACGGCCGCCGAGAAGGGCGGCCGAGAATCCGGACTCGTCCAACCACGTCTCTCTATTAAAAATTAATTAAAAAATAAAAAATTATATAATAATCCTTTAATATCATATGACCATATTCCTCCACCAAACCTCATTCATTATGGCTTATTTTGAGAAGTTAGTAAAAAGTAATTTTTTGATTTTTAATCAAGTTTTTGGCTTTTTTAGATAAATAATTTAAAAAATTGGTAAAAAGTTACTTTTGACTTTTTTTATTAATATTTATTTATGATGTCAAATTATATAAAATGACCAAACTATCCCCATTTATTTAAAATATTTACAACTTCACCTATGTAACATATTTTAACCCATGAGAGGTAAAAATGTAATTTCACCATTGGATAAAAACCAACTTCCCAACTAAAAAAAGAGTGCTGCTATTAGTACCTACCAAAATTCTTTGGACCCCAATCCTAAACCCTAAATTTTAATCATATTTTTTTGGACACCCCACTTATAACCAAATCTACCCATATTCATAATATTTTCACAATGAAATGCACACCCACCTAATTTTTCATCTCTCTCCTTCCCTGACTCACTCAATCTTCAGAGTTTGGAGCTTTGGTCCAGTATAGAATTCTTGGACCCCAACCCTCCATCACTCTCGTTGCCGTCTCGACCGTCAACAGAGCATTCTGACGATTCTCATCTTCTTTGAACGCTCTCCGTATCGCCGAATTAGTAATCTCTCTCATCATCATCTTCTTCATTGCTTTTTGTATCTTCGTCATCGCTGAGATCGATTGAAGATACTCCGATTTTTACGGGATTTGCATAACCGTTCGCAAGATGAGAAAAAACAGAATCATCGTCTAAATCGCCATCAGAATTCTGAATGTAGTCCAAAACAATTTGTTCACCACTGTGTTGCCGAAAAAATGTATTTTGTTCAGAACTGTTTTGTTGAACAATAATGATCCTATCAGCATTGTATGTCCGAACAAAATTTGTTTATCACTATGTAACTTGAATCCATTACAATTCGCAACTTAAAATAACATGAATTAAATCTATTCAAAATACATAACTTAAATCCATTCCAATTCACTCTTTTCCATTCTAAAGTTAGTTTAACAAAGAAAATTACATAACTGGCTATCTGCATTAATGTTCGGAATCTATGTATTGAACGAAAGGATTATGTTCAGTACTGTATTACCGAACATAATTCTAACAATCAGCAAACCAGTACCGAACAGCTCGAACGAAACAAGAACGCCCGAAAATGAGCAAGAATGTTAATACAAGACAGATAAACTTACTAATAGAATGCCGATCCCACTAGAATTGTTGTCCTCATCCTCCATTGTTCTACACGGTGAAATAAGTGATGAAGTATACGTTATACTTGAAGCAAAACTTTCAAGTTTCAAGTTCAATAGCGTTGATGATGGTGATGAAGATGATATATTTAGGATTTAAGATGATTATGAAAAATAATAGATTTAGGGTTTATGTTAGTTGGTTATGAAAAGTAATAGGTTTAGGGTTTACAAACATGGAATACGTATAGTTGGAGTTGGAGGTAGGGGTGGGGGTAGGTGTCCAATATTATAGAGTGTTAGTTCTTATTGATATGTGAGTGTTCCATTTAATAATGCATTTTAATGTAATTTTACTTAGGGTATAATTGTAATAAAAAAAATTATAAAATGGGGATCCAAAGAATTTTGACAGGTGCTAATAGCAGCATTCTAAAAAAAAAAAAAGACAAAAAAACTAATTTTTGACTTTTGCTACCAACTTAAAAAAGTAGCTAAAAATCATGTTGCCAAAACACTTCTATGTTCTTATATTTTTCAATTATGGGGTGTTTTGGGAAGTTAGTAAAAAGCTGACTTTTGACTTTTTATCAAGTTTTTTGATTTTTTTGGAAGTGATTTGGGAAGTTGGTAAAAAGCTAGCTTTTTTGTTTTTTGATTTAATATTTTTTAAAAATGTCACATCACTCTAAAATGACTAAAATATCCTTACTTTTTATTTTTTAAATTAATTAATTAAAATGTTTTAGAGGGTAATTTGGTAAATTTGAGTATTGCTTTTTCAACTCTTCTCAAATGGTGGTTCAGCGTTTTCAACTCTTCCAGCGTTAATCAACATTGATCAAGAACGTTGCGTTTTGGGAAGGTTCCAAAACGGCACATAAATAATCAATAAGTAGGCCTCATTTGACCATTAAAAAGTAACTATAAATGGTTTAGTCAAAAAGTCACTATAAATTATCATATCACATTATCTATTTATGTATATATTTTTTTTTATAAAAAATCAAAATATTATTAAAATAATTTATTTATTTTAAAACTACCTAATAATTTTATTTTATTTTTTTGAGTACATCGGAAAGAGACTACCCAATAATGAGGTGTTGATCCAGAAGTTCGTGGCTGCAATTTTTAAACAGCTGCGCCTATTTTCAAACAAAACCGCCCACCACCAGTTTAGTTAGACATCCAGTCCAGATTGCAGAGAGAGAAAATAGAAGATCTAGAGAGAGAGACAGAGAGAGAGAGAGAGAGTGAGAATGAGTGCATCACGCAGCAGCCTCAAGCATCAACATCAGCCGCCGCAGACGGTGGAGCTACCACCCTTCCTCCACCACCACAACCACCATCCCAGGTATGTCCCTCTTCCCCACCATCCACCTCCTCCTCCACCAAACCCCTCCGATTTCTACCACCACCACCACCACCACCTCCCTCCTCCTCCTCCGCCACCACCACCACCACCACCACCACCTATTCCACCCTCACCACACTCATACCGCCCCCTACTTCCTCCCCCGCCTTACAATCCCCTCCACTCCCAATTCACTTACCCCAAACTCCGCCCTATTGACGACGACCTTACAATTTTCTCCCCCCGATCTCCCCCTAGGGTTTTCGATCGATCCCCATTCGTTCACGATCGCCCCCGTCTTCGCATCCCCGAATTCGACAATTCCTGGCCCGATCCACCTAGGGTTCCTCCCGAAAATCGCCTCCACCACCACCGGCCCTTTGACAGTCGAATCCCTGTGTCGCCCTTTCCAACTTCTGATACCCATAGGAATGATCTACAACGTAGTTTTAGGTTTAGAGAGGATTTCATTGATGGGTTTACTCCCAATCGTACTGAAGAATTTTCATGGGCTCCAAACCATAGTCCAAGCACTGATCTTGATAGGAATTATCGTCACAATCGCAATCATCATTATGTATCTAACTCTAGCGGATCTTCTAGAAGTTTTGCATTTGTTGATTCTCATGTTGTTTCTAACTCCAATCCCTCCATAGATTTTGGGTCTAATTTGGGAAATTACGAGTCCCGTTATGGTTCTTCGATATCATCAGATAGTGATAGGTTTCTGAGTAATAAGGATGAATATAGGAGATGGGATCATGCTAGGGAGTTGCCTGATGCTCCAGTGTTGTCGGAAAACAATGAATTTGATAATAGTGATGGTCTTCGAGTTGTTTCCTCCAGACGAGTGCCTCATATTTATGATTCTGGTAAATATAATTATAGGGGCAGTAGAGAAGGTAACCAAGAATTTCTTCACAGTCCCAGGAAGAAAATAATACAGAAGAAGAGTGCTTTACTTAGGATTCAATATGTTAAATCTCATAATAGGAATAGAAATGATGAACAGCGTTTTTCTTCAACTCGTTATGATGACTCAGACTCTAGTACCTTCAGAAGTAGAGGTCCTTTTGTTTATTCCGATAACAGGATCGAGGAAGATAGAGAGGGTAGCCCAGTGGAGCTTGATGTTTCTTTTAAATCTAATGCTTTAGTAGCCAAGGCTATTGTGGCCTCTTCAAGTCATGGAGTTGAATCTGATAGGAATTTCACACCAAGAAATAGGAAGATTAGGAAACTCAAAACACCAGAGATAGACCTTTTAAATTCACCACTAACCAAACTCAGTGATGGTCCTGTGGAATTGAACAGCCCCACGTATGCTTTGGATTGTCCAACTATTTCTTACAGGGACTCAAAACAGTTGGGGGAGAATGTTATGGATTCTGGTGGTGGAGCTGCGTGTGCTATTGGTACACAACCTTGTTCCAGCGGAGCCATTGATACATCTGGAAATAGTACACTGAAAGAATCGGTTTCAGAAAAAGGTGGTAATTCTGTTGGCTCGGATGAAACATCTTCACTCAGGACTAGGAGGAAGAAGAAAGTCGTAAGCCCTCTTTCTCATGTGTCAAGGTCACAGGCAACGGAGAAAAATGTTGAGCCTGTCAAAGCAGATAAATCCGAAAGCAGTCTGCCCGCAGCCTCACATCCTGGTGAGGATGATATGCATTCAGAAGAGAAAACTGTCTCTGCTGGCATGGTTCTGGTACGCAATGTTGATTTGCAGTCTTCTCCAAATGAAGTAACTGCATTGCTTGATCATAATAAAGTAGATGAATCTAAAGTTTCAGAGAAAGACGGAACTGACATTAATTCTGGTGGATCACATGTATGTAATACTAAGAGAAAGAGAAATAGCTCTACCCATCTTTTGGGCTCATCAAGTCCTCTGAAAACAACCAAAGTTGATGAGGGTACTGAACTTGCAGATAGATCAATTGATTTGCATATGATTTTGAATTCTGACAAGAGTCCTGTTGAATTGCAGAATGGAAGTACTTTTACTGGGATTGATCAGGTGGGTGACATTAGCCAGCAATCTTGTCGGAATGAACCTCTTGCATTGCTTCAGAATGGTCTTGTAAAAGGATATTTAGAGGCTAAGTTGTCGGTAGGAGGCAATGCTAATACCAATTTGTCAAGTCCAGAGGAAATCAAAATTCATGAGGATCACGTAAATTTATATAACACTTTTTATGATGTCCAAAATGCTTCAAGTTCTGGCAATGAGCTTGTTAGAGGGAAACATAAAATTACTGTTTCTGACATTGATGCTGGTTCTAAGTTTAATGAGGCTACTGGATTGCCAGAAGGTGTTGCAGTAGATGCTGGTTCTGAGGCTACTTTATTGCCAGAAAGTGTTGAAGTAGAAGGAATTCCAAGTCCCTTGGTTGAAGGTAATGCTATCGTGGGTTTGTCAAAAGCAGAGGGAACCAATAACTGTGAAGGTGTATTTGATCCATATTGCTTCAATCATTATGCAACTAGCACCTCGGGTTCTGACAATTTTCCAAGTAAATCTCAATGGAAAATTCCTGTTTCTGAGATTTGTTCTCTTGATGATAGTAGCAAGGAGTCATGTCCAGAAGGTACAACTGTATTGCCTGAGAATGCTCCCACAGAAGGACTTACAAAAGCCAGGATGTCAGTGGGAGGCAACCTGCATGTTGGTTTTGGTAAGGGGGGTACACCTAATAAGAGGAAAGATATGGATATTCAGTTGGATTTTTCAAGTCCAAGCACTAGTGACATGCCTGTGAACATGGTTAACATTGTATATCCTATAGATACAAGCTTTAGTTGTTCTGACAAGGACCTTAATTTTGCACAAGAGAAAGTTGTGGTTTCTGGTGCTGATAACTTTGACGTTGGCTCACAACCTTGTACAGACAAGGATAGCATTGTGCATGGTACTTCTCGCAAGTATATAAAGAAGAGGAAAGTATGTGTGCCAGTTTCACCTTCTCCAGTGCTGCCTCAGACCCAGGAGGAGCCTGTGAGTGGTGGTACCTTTATGTTCAATGTGGAACTGCCTTCAAATACAGATGGGGATTTGATGCTATCAGAAAATAGAATTGTGGAGTCTAACATTGATACTGTGCATTCTGCTAGATTTCCAGCTTGTTCAGAGTCTACGAGTGTGTTGATTGGAAATACAGAGGCACGACCCTCATTTGAGGCTACAAGTTTTGTGGGAGAGGGATTTACTGATAATGTTTCAAAACTTAAGCAGGAGTCTTGTTGCCCATCAGGACTGGGAGTTGAGCAGAAAGAAAAAGATGATTTGGTTATGATCACAATGAACCATCAAATTGACATTCTTGATATGGAAAGAGGAGGCAGAGGGGAAAAAGAAGTTGTTGCTAAGGATGTTGAGGAGCCTGGAATGCTTCACATAGACACTGTTCAGCAGAGAGATCCTTCAGAAACTCAGGCTCCAGACACAGCTCAGAGGCAACCTGTTACTGATATGGAATGGGAGAGTTATCTGCTGGTGAAGGATGGTTTACCTTCTGTCTCAAACACTCTGCCTTTATATGCAGATGGCAAGGGCATCTCTACTACCAACTTGCTGGATGAAATGGTGGAGTTTGCGCCTGATAAACTATCCAATATGGACTCTCCAGAAGCACAGTCTATTGTCACAGGATCACAGATGTTCAATGCAAAAATATCACTTGGTCAAATACCAAATGAAAAGAGTTGTGAGGATGTTGGAGAACAAGATGAGAAACATGTGTTTGAAGGTCTTTCTTCGTCATATTCCTTAAACACATCTTTGCAGACAATTAACAAGAAGTCAGGTCATGCAGTGGGTAATGTTCATTCAGTTAATGCCAAGTTCCAAACCCAGGAAGCCAGAAAAACAACTCATGGTTTGAATTCTACGAGTGGGGCAATTAACATGAGAAACAACCAGCTGACTTCAGCAGTCCCTAGGGTTTTTCCAGGTTATTCATCTTCAAAGAAAACAGCCCCATCAAGCCACATAACAAAACCCCGAACCTGGCATCGAACTGGCAATCTCTCTGCTTCATCTCATCTGGCAAAGAATTCCTATCTGAACTCTGTTCCTCCACAAGGGCAGTCATCTAGAAAAATTGGAAAGGATCAGAATGCTTACATTCGTAAAGGCAACAGTATCGTAAGAAAACCTTCTTCAGTTGCTGCAGCTCCTAAATTCTCCTATGCTTTGAGTTCATCCATCTATCGGTTGAATCCTACAAAGATAGATGACATGAAGAACAGGACGGGAGTTAAGAGCAGTGTCGACGCCAGAAACACACCTAGTAGCTTGCAAACAGGGCTGAATGCTACTCTTGAAAGGCCCAAAACACCACCATTACCCTGCAGCACCAAATTATCTCATTGTACGACCTTCTCTTCAGGAAATGGAGCACCTTCATCATTGGCAGATCTTCCATCTTATGGTTGCACTAACACTGAGTCAGACCCTCTAAAGCTGAAAGAAATTACAGATGTGTCAAAGCCTTCTGAGGATGCTCCAAATTCTTCTGGAACTCATGAAAATCAAACTGGTCAAATCAACAATTTTGAAAGCCAGAGTGTACAAGATGATGGAAATTCGGAATCTATGAAAGCAAGAAAGATGGTATATGTGAAGAAAAAATCAAATCAGTTGGTTGCAGCTTCCAGTTCTAGTGATTTATCTGTTCTGAACGTTGACAAGACTGAAGCCCTACCCTCCGATGGTTACTACAAAAGTAGAAAAAATCAACTCATCAGGAAATCATTGGAAATCACTCAAAATTTTGCCATGCCCGATGTTTCTTTAAACTCAGAGTGGAAAAAGGCTCCTCGGGTTATTGCAAGCAGTTCTAGTAGGAGGAGATCTGGTAAAGGTGCGTTTTCAAAACCCATTCATCAAGTGTTTTTTAGTTTTGTTTTCAAAAGGATAGATGCTTACTGATTTATAAGGCTATCTGATACTTTGTGAAAAAAGTAAATTATAAATGCATTATAGAAAATAGAAATGATTTTTTTAACATCTTGTTTTCAATTTAAATCTTTAACATGAAATGCTGCTTTTTGCCTCAAAGAAGTTGGCTACAGGTCCCAAGTCTTGTTTGTTTTCAGTATGTAACTCTGAATCTTTTGTCTGCTGTTGATTTGATATATGTTGAAGCTTTCTTATCTCTATTCTCCTTTTGCTATCATTGCTGGTCACGTTCTTTTTATCTGCCGAGCAAAAGAATGACTTCCTTATTGCATTTCATACTCATATGAGGGAGAAGATAGAGTTTTCAGTCATCACTCTCCAGGGATTTGTTCTACCAAAAAAAAAAGGCCTCTGGAAAACAGAGAGATTTTGTTTATGGTAATTGAAGAAAGTAATATGAGGATTATTGTATAATTAACTTTTGAATGGGTTGGTTTGTTTAATCATTATGAATGTGTTATTTGGTCTAATCACAAACTGGATATCTTAACGTCATGTTAATTGCTGTTTTAGTTTTTAGTTTTTAAGGTATTTTGTGAAAAAGAGGCTATCAAGATGTGTATTAGGGTCTGTGGTTCAGTGTCAATATTAATGAATTGTGCCTTTGATCACCCACTGAGCAAAATTATCTTGTACTGAAATATATCTCTTCTTTTTTCATACGTCACTGTGATTCCATTTCCTGCTTTTCAAATTCTTCTATCTTCACTTCTCTTCTTCTCCTCTGGTATTTGTGATTAATCTTTGGGTCTGAAAGTAAGCACATATTTGCTGGTCTGTTTTGTATCTTTCAAGTTTGTAAAAAATTTCTTGGATAGCCTGCTGCTGCTGATGAGGTCACAAAGTTTCTTATTGTTTTGGTAGATAGTTTCTTATTGTTTTGGTGGATTTCTGCCGATTATGATTCTTTTATTATTTGTGTAATTGTACCTAATATTATCATTATTTGGAGCATATTTTTATTCCAATGCCTGTGCTTTCTTGCGAATTAACTGTGTCAGATTTAGGCTTCCTGTCCTCCATATCGTTCTTTTCAACTAAAAGGAATATATTTATGCTGTAAATAATTGTTCAGTTCCATTGGACACAATCAATAGGTAGGCAAGACTTAGGACGGTTAACATTTACAGGTTTGGCAAAGTCATATAAACCTTCAAAATTCTCTCTGGTGTGGACACTACGTGATGCACAGTCATTGAAGAAAGAGAATGCATCACTACGCCAGATGTTGCCGCACCTATTTCCATGGAAAAGAGCTACACACTGGAGAAGTTTAATGCATAGTTCAGCATCTATTTCCAATAATAGTTCCTTATCTACAATCAGGTACCTTGGCATTTAGTGCTGTTCTCTCTGTTTTTGCTGCTGGTTCCATGCTTTTATGTTATTTCTACATGTAAGACCTAAGAAAATAATGGATGATTATGTATCTTCAGTCGGGAATTGCTGCTGTCGAGAAAAAGGGAGACTGTTTACACAAGGTCTACCCGGGGATTTTCTCTTCGAATATCCAAGGTTTTGAGTGTTGGTGGGTCTAGTTTGAAGTGGTCAAAATCCATTGAAAAGAACTCAAAAAGAGCAAATGAGGTTAGTGTGGCAGTATTATTCTGGAAAACACCTTTTACTTGATTAAAATTTGAACTAATTTGGTTCACAACTGAGAAGAAATTGATTTTAATTTGCTTAATTAATCTTGACTCTGCTTTTTCATAGGAAGCTACACTAGCTGTTGCTGCAGTAGCGAAGAAGAAGAGAGAACAGAATGGTGCTGGTGCTGTTACTACTGCTGGGACAAAGAATAGAAATCATTCTTCCCGTAAGTCAGTTCATAGTATAGAGCTGCGCCCAGGTAGGCCAATCAACTGTCCTGGTGTGGCAGATACATTTTTTTGAGTATTACTGAATTTGATTGTTTTGATAAAATGATTGTTATATGCATCATCTATATATGTCAGTGGTTTTGAGAAAGATGCTCCAATGACATTATTGAAGCTGAATTTTTTTTATTCATTTATAAAACGAGTACTATCAAAATAAAATTGTAATGATAAATCAATACTATATGCGTCTGATTGCACCTTCTGTATGGTGGTGTAAATATCTTTTTGAAAAGAATGCTCTGGTGATTATAATAGTACTATAACTTTCTAAACTATCTAGCTATGTTGCAGGAGAGCGTATATTCCGTGTTGGTTCTTTTCGATACAAAATGGATCCGACGAGGCGGACACTTCAGAGGCTTTCAGGTACCCTCATCATTCATTTCTTTGTGTTTGAGATGTGCATTATAATTTTATCCTTTCTAATCCATCCTTGCTTAGTCAAAAAAAAAGAAGTCCATCCCTGTTATGCTGTGTCTCTGAGGTAGGCGCTGACAGAGCTTGAATATCTGTCATTTCAGATTTTAGATGCCAGTAGCTACAAAACTCCCCAATACTAATGATTTGTTTTAGAATAGATTCTGCATATTTCTGTTGCTTTCATCTTATGTACTCATTTTACCAGTAGTTAGATTGTTAAATGTAACTACAAACAGAGTTGTAGAAAGTGGACATCAATGCAACATGTGGTAGGGGAAGGATCTCAAAGCAATTAGTTTCTGTACTGCCCCTCGTTCCTTGCTTAATTTCTGTTACCTTTTCATCTAATAGAAGTAGGAACACAAATGTAGTAACCGTTTTGCAACAATGAATTTATTGATTCCAGGAATTCGTTTATTGTCATCGCAGTGCAGTATTAAGTGGCTTACTGCGGAGAGAATCATCTTTTCAAAGGTTTACAATTATAGCTTCGATGAACTTGATCAACTTAAGTTGGCATTCTACCTCTTTCTCTTTCAGGAGGCTGGTTTGTGAAATTCAGTATTCTGAAGAGCTGCAACTGGTGTTATGATTCATAAAATGCTATTTTCCAAACCCATTTTTCCTTTTGTGCTATTTCCCTTTTGCTTTCCTCCCCCCCACCGGAAGACTTGCCTAGAAGTTTGATGTGAATTAGTTTCTATATATTGCTTTTAATTTGAAGTCATAAGGAGTCTGCTAGTTATATCCTGGGAAAACGGTTCCATAACTACTTTTCGGAAATAGCCTATTATGTTTCGATGTCAACTTTTTATGTTTTTACAAAAACGATATTTATGGCGCAACAGGGATGCTTAAGCTTGAAAGTCTCTATGTCTTCCCCTGGGCTTGCTCGATATCTTTAAGGCAGCTTCTGATTTAATTTATTATAAGCTGAAAAATAATAAGAAAACAGAGAACGGAAATAACGTGGAGAGGTGAATGATGTATACCTTGAAATTGGTCCTTTAACTAAGTAAATTCCTTTGATCCACAATTTCTCTAACATAGTTGTTGATCTCAGCATACACTTGTTTATTATTTATGAATGATGTTATTTGGATATTTCTTTTCTATCTAGAATTTTGCCTTATAAATTCCTCTTCATGCTCTGTGTAGATGAGGAATTATCAGACTCAGTCGCTCTTCAATCTGGGAAGGATTTAGAGAAATCTTCTGTTCCAAAGAGATTACTGATTGGCAATGATGAGTATGTTGAATTATATTGATGACCTACTTTGAATCCTTCTATAATAATCCTGAAGATTGTTCATTGACAATGATGATCAAGGAAAAAAAAAAACACTAAAAAGAACTAGAGAACCTTGAACTGTTGCTTTTATTGTCTACAACATGGAATTTGGTTTCATATAAATGTATTCCACTGCTGGCAGGTATGTTCGAATTGGCAATGGTAACCAACTGATTCGAGATCCGAAAAAACGAACAAGAATTTTGGCAAGTGAGAAAGTTAGATGGAGTTTGCATACTGCCAGACTGCGGTTGGCTAGAAAGAGCAAGTACTGTCAGTTTTTCACAAGGTTTGGGAAATGCAACAAGGATGATGGAAAATGTCCTTATATTCATGATCCCTCTAAAATTGCGGTTTGCACAAAATTTTTAAAGGGTTCATGTTCTGATCCCAACTGCAAATTGACCCATAAGGTGTATCACTTAACTGATAGACACAATTTGATATGTTTGATTCAGTATCTTTTATCTTATCAGTTTTCATTTTATCTTGATTGCTTTTTCACATGCAGGTCATTCCTGAAAGAATGCAGGATTGTTCTTATTTTCTTCAAGGTGTGTTTGGTGGTTTATTATGTTTTGTACAATTTCGCACAAACACAAAATTCTGACTCATTTTCTGGCAGGATTATGTACCAATGAGAGTTGCCCTTATAGACATGTAAATGTGAAGGCAAATGCCTCTATTTGTGAAGGTTTTCTGAGGGGCTATTGTGCCGATGGAAATGAGGTATTTCTAGAATTTGGTCGTTATATTTCACTCAAAATTATTTTCTTTCATGGGAAAAGAAACTAGAAAATTTTAAATCAAGCTGTGGGGACAAAATTAACTATTGTTTGCACTTCATTTAGTTGTACCTGGTTACTATTCTAAAAAACTACTATTAGGTTGGTTTTAGCTGTCATTTTTAACTGTTTTGTGTCCATTTAACTAACAGAAGCTGGCATGGTGCTAAGTTTAGGACTGTGATTTACTTCATTTCTTTGGGTTGGTCTAAATTATGGGCTGATTCAATTCATAGCCCTTCCCTGCTAATGGTGTTTGATCACTGTAAATATTATACTGTTTTTTAGATGAGTACAAAGTTGTTGACCCCCCATCACATGCACACAACCCACTTAGCTTGAAACAAGTAAACGGATCACAATCTCTCAACTTGCAGTGTCGAAAGAAGCACAGTTACGTCTGCCCCATTTTCGAAGCAACAGGAATTTGTACTCAAGGTTCCAAATGCAAGCTTCACCATCCCAAAAACCGGAACAAGGGAAAGAAAAGGAAACCATCTTCTGGAGAACAGAAAAATGCTCGAGGTCGTTACTTTGGTTCCAGGAATAGGAATATTGATGTTTCTTCTGAGTACAGAACAGCAGTGTCAGAAAAGCACTCTACAGAGGATGATGACAACGTTTTCTATCAAGAAGGAAGATTTTCTGATTATATCGATCTAGGTTTATGTGATGAAGAGGTTGGAGAAATTAATGATCCATCTAGTGATCAAACGACCATGTTTGAAGGTGAGCTGACAGATATACTGTTAGATGTTGATGAGCTGATTAAGCCCACTTATGTAGTGAATAGGAGAATGATGACAGAATCATTGAAGACTGCTGGCAATGTTTCCGTGGAATCTAGTAGTAGATGAGGCGTTGGAGTACTAGGTATAATCTTCTTTTTTCTGCAGGTGCAGATCAATTTTGATGTCTTATTGATAGTGTACGCTACTGTTGTAGGAATGCTCAGATGATTTTAGGCGGGAAAAGAGTAGAAAGAAAGAAAAAAGGAAAAAAAAAAAAGAGAAGAGAAACAGTTTGTATAGTTTGAAGAAATTGAGCAATGAAAATTTGATTTTCCCATCAGTTGTATTATTTTATTGTAGAGTATGCTTTTCCATACCAATCCTTTGATTCACCCGGATGCGGCAACTATCTAGGTTGAAAAGAATTTATCATTATATATTATTGTTATCGTTGTTGAAATGAAGTTATTGAACTAGATCTGTTAAAATAAATTCTCCTCTTGGATTGCCATTGTCATCCGTCTTTCTGATACAATTCTCTGAAAATAACTGGTCTTTCTGTAATTTTATGCAATTTTGATACAATTTTGTTGACACCATGTTCATGAATATTGATCTAGTGAGTGGGTCAACAAAGAAGTGGAGTTGTGGTAAATTACAATCTTATCTTTCTGTAATTATTAATTAATGCGGGACACATGTCAACAAATAAGAAGAATGAGCAGCAGGTGGCCTTTGTAATCTCTAATAATACTGAGACAATTTCCTCAAAATTACCAAAAAGTAAAAATACAATAGTCATATGACTTATGTTGTGTTTGGTTGGGGGATTTGGGGAGGGATTTGGAAGGTGTGTGAAACTATGTGAAATGTAAGTATATTTTATTCATATTTCACCTAACTTTTCCTTTTCCCTTTCCAAATTCCTCCTCAAATCCTCCAACCAAACACAACATTAAGGAACACATTTTGGAGATAGTGGGACGCTTACATGTTAATGTATGAATTTGGAAGTAGGACTTCAAATAGTAATAATGGGTTAACAAGGAAACTAAAACACACTAATTCATTCATTTCTAATCTTTTTGTTTATTAAACTCTTATATCAATTTTGATTCCCAGAATTAGTAAGTAAAAAAAAAAAAGACGAAAGGACAAAAGAAAAAGCCTTCAACAGTGTATCAAATGTACCAGGCAAGCAATTTTCTTTCTTCTCAACCACACATCCATACACACTCTGACTCCCCCCTCTGATAAGAATAACAAATCTTATCCACATAAAAAAAAGAGTCTCTAAAATCCATTCCCTTCCATTCCATAAGACAGACTACAAGCAAATCTTCATACCCACAAAACCCAACAGCAATCTAGATTCAACCATGGCTGCAACTTCCTCTTATATGGCTCTAACAAAGTTCTCCATGTTAGGCTGGTCAGGTGGGACCAAAATGAACCTCAAAAAGAGAACCATGTTCTCAATCTCAGCTCAACAACAACAAGAAACAGAAATTCAAGAACCAAAGGAAGCAAAAGTAGGAAAAGAAGAACAAGAAGTGAAGCAACGAGATACAACATCATATTACAAGGAACCAAGGCCAGTTGAGCCACAGTTGAATGTGAAGAGCAAGAACTTGAGCAGAGAGTACGGAGGACAGTGGCTGAGCAGTGCCACGCGCCACGTCAGGATCTACGCCGCCTATATCGATCCTGAGACCTATGCATTTGATCAGACTCAGATGGATAAACTCACCCTTATCCTTGATCCAACCAATGAGTTTGAGTGGACTCCTGAAACTTGCAACATGGTCTATGGTTACTTCCAAGAGCTTGTTGATCACTATGAGGTAATTTTATTTTTTTTTGTTTTTCATGTTTTGAATCTTAAGAACACAATATTCTAGAGGTGGTGTTGATTTTCATGGTTTTGAAACAAAGTGATAAAAGCGAATAATTAGAAAACAGAAGCCAAAAAGGTTCTTATCACAACTTCTAGTAATGAAGTTAATTACTATCTACCAAGGGAAAAACTGGAACGAACTTAAAAATTTCTTTCCAGTGTTTGGAACTTGGATTTAGTAGGGGAAAAGAGAAAGGAAAAGAAAAAGTAGGAAAATTATTTTTCTTTTTGTTTTTCCTCTTTCTTAAATAATGTTTTCAGAAAATATAATGATATAGTAAATCATGGAACAGAGAAGGAGAAATGACATTTAAAGCTAAACTTTCTAACAATCTTTTATACTCTCTCTCTCTCTCTCTTCATTAACCTCACCTAGTAACAAAATTTCCAACATATTGAAAATCTCCTGAATTTATCCAGCTATTTTCATAGCAAAATATTTTTTTTTTATAAAATTTCTTGTTTATATAGAACATTTTTTTTATAAAAAATTTTCCAACATAAGTTTATTTTATTAATCAAAAAATTTGAGGTTCTTAAAACTGTACGTATGTTTTCTCAAATAACTCCCTAGTCAAGAAATATTTCAATGTCGAATAATTTTTGAATCTCAATTCTCAAACACATGAACCAAACAAAGTTTGGTGCTTCACTGAAATCATATATTTGATTCTCAATATGATTGTGAACTCAAATCAATCCCTCAAAATAGGCTGTGAAGGTCCTGAAACTCGGTAGGTAAAAAAAAGGTACTGTTTAATTGAGTAAAGCTACGACTAAGAACTCATACACAATATCAAGAAAAGCAATGTATGATACTACATTGTAAGTCACACCCACTGTACAAGATTTGAATATATAGAACCATACATTTTTTAATTTTTTTTTGATATTTCTCGGCTCTTGGTTCTTAGCATTACTGTTATTTCCAAGATGTATGAGAAGGTAGGAAGAGATCTTGCAACTGGAATTCTAGCACCAACCACTTTCATACCTTCGTATGAATTATATGTAACCGACATACAATGGCAGTAATTTAGGGCAATAGAAACCGTGGCAGGGATCCTTTGTCCAGATCTCCCGTCCTCGTCACAAGGACCCTCTCCACCACACAATCAAGCTAGATAGACACAAGGTGGCTTGGAACAGAGAGGATAGGGAGGAGGGCCAAGTAACAAGCAACCAGGATCCCTGTTGCATCCATATAGCACCACCTATTGTTGTTGCCTGAGATTAAAATGATATATCCGGTACAATTTTCATGGTGTCCTTCAGACATTTTGGCAAATAAGTCTAATGCATATGAACTTCAAAAAGACATTATGGCACGATAGCACAGTTCACAAAAGCAGGCAAGGAGGGCACTGTTGCGCCATTGCAAAATATTCATTTGCTTTTACTAAAAAACAGAAAATTTTCAACTTCCTGTCCTTGGCAATGCTTAATTTCACAGTTGCTGAGACACTTAAACATTGTCTGTTGAATCAGGGAGCCCCATTGACAGAATACACACTCCGGTTGATTGGTTCTGATATAGAGCACTACATAAGGAAGCTGCTATATGATGGGGATATCAAATACAACATGAATGCAAGAGTTTTGAACTTCAGCATGGGAAAACCAAGAATTGGGTTTACTTACAAGGATGACAAAATCCAAGATGTAAAGCAGTAAGTTCTGAACCAAAAATAAAACATTTTGATATTCTTAAAAAAAGAAAAAGAAAAAAAGAAGTCTTAAAAAAAAAGTCAAGTTGTCCCATCTATTATATATATATATATATAGATAGATAGATAAAAAGAACTTTAGTCGAAGCAGTACTTCACTATGACACCAGAAGAAATTGTCAGACAACCTTCTCTAATATATCAGACTTCAGAGCATAGGCAGAATCTTCTAGCGATTTCTTGGCAACACTTCCAAGTATGAGGGGTCTAACCATGGACGGAATGCATCTTCATAAGCCAAATTCTGGCACAATACAAACCAATAAAATAATCAGAAAATGCTACTGCTGAATGGAAGAAAGCAACAAACCATCAAAATTTATGTACTTTCATGCTTATATATGCTACTATAAATTATAATGGTCATGCGTCAACATGCAAATTCAAAATCATGAAATACCCAAGCAGCCCCATCCTAAATTCTTTTAATGCGAAACATCAAGCCCATTGTTTATGGATGCAACACCTTTCTGTTCAATAAATTTAGTCATAAACTTCGTAATTTCCACATTATGCTGTCTGAAGAATGCTGACAAGCTAGAAACATACATGAGCCAAAAATAATATGAGTGCGTGAACACACACACATACATAAACAGAGGGGGAGGGGTGGAAATGAATTTGAGCTGTTATTTAGTTCATGGAACTGTTGTTATTGGTTTCACTTTCCCAGTTAAGACACTATGAGTGCTAACATCTGAACTTTATCAATGCATTACTTTCGAATTCTATCCTCCAACGGTTTACAAATCATTATTTTAGACAATTTCACCAAGTCAGCTCATGCATGGGACAACCTTTGTACCCGATTATTTTTGAATTCTATTCTCACTTTTTCTTTTTTTCGTTTCTTTCATTGCACTTCAACTCTGTTACATTTCTAGTGGAGTGGAGAAGGATTTCAAATTCACAATTGAAGCAGATAAGTCACATGGGGCACATGAACACCCTTTGTTCTTATTTTCATTTCCCTCGTCAAACAACACCTCACAGAACCACACAAATCCTTTTCTTCAAATTTGTAAAGCAAGATCTAAAAAATCAAAAGAGTGACTCAGTGCATGAGACTCTTGCTAAAGCAGAATTTGGGGAGGGCAACATCTACTTGGTCTTTTAGCGCCATTTCTGCTAGACTATTTCCACGACTTGAACCCACACCAAGGATGCTAAATTACTGTCAGGCCAATCCGCCCTTTTTAAAAAAAACTCGTAATAAAAATAAAGTATACTCTTGCCATGGTCACAAAATAGTAATGTCTCACCATGAGAAAAATCTCTACTATCAATTTCTTAAGTAATTTTTTCCTTTTCTTTCTTTTGTCTTCTTTCAGGTTTAAAAAGTTTCAGTGCACCAGTTTTAACTGTTCACAAATTGACATGCTCACATGTCAATTAAAAATTCATTTTTTCTCTTTTTTCCTTAGGGGTAAGGAATAGGAGATGCGAAAGATTTAAGTCCAATGAGCATTAACAGAGAGATCAGGGAAGGTCGTGGACAAAGCGGTGGAGGCCTCTGGCTCAATTGTTCAGTTGGAGGGAGAAAATCTTCAGCAACGTCATTGCCAATAAATGCATGGAATCCCAATTTAGGAAAGGAGCTTCACTTTACTCAGTAAATTGGCATGTGAAGAAGGCTCATGGCCTTGCAAATTAGGAATTCATCGTATATTTCCTCAAAGGATGGTCCCTAGAGACAAATGGGGGAGTTGAGTTACATTGTTTCAGTGTGATCATTGAAGCTTCTAGTGGATTGGTTCAGAACGCAATTGACAATAAATCAATGATTGACAATAAATCGGTAGATAATAAAGCAATTGACAATAAATCAATGATTTTTTGAGGTGTATATTGTGATTTACTTGAGATTTTTGAAAACTTAGTTAACATACTTGAGAGTTAAGCCAGCATCTAGTTCAAAATAAAAATAGTAGGGTGAATAACTCTGGGAGAGGATGTGGATGACGGGCTGTAAAATTAATGTGGCCCTAGGTTTACAAACATGAACTAATATAATACAAATGGAGAACTTCATGAGTTCAGAGCTAAAATGCCCAAAAATTAAGCGAAGAAATTCACCAAATGATCTCACAAACTAAGTTGACATATCAGCACAAAAAATTGAAAAGAATATTTAGGAGCCAAACAATCTCAAAAGCACCTAACTAACCTGGTTCAAGATTTGCAACACAAATTAAATACCCAAGGATAAAGTTTTTGGTGAAACCCTATAAAACAGTAAACAATAGGAACTAAGTGTTGCACGTGACAAGGAGACTAATATGGAAACTTTAAGTATAATGTAGGCAATGATAGAAGAGTGATGAAAGGAACAACCTCACCATGAATTGTAGCAAATGCACAGAATCAGAAGGCCTAATACCGTGATAAAATTATCTAAAGCATGGAACTTTTTTTATGATACTACCCTTAAATAAATCAAAAAATATATCACTCCAACAGTAGTCAAGGCACGAGCAGATTATCCTTGTTAAGATTACAAGACTATTTGAGATTTAAAAACAGAAAGAAACCCACACTAAATTTTTTTTTTAATGGTAAATTTAGTCATCAAGAGAGAGAGGAAGAGAGCAAAAGTGGAGAAACCTTCAACCCACCAAATGGGTCAACATTAGTAAGAATCCTGTGACTGGGAAGAGAGGGAGGCGGAGAGAGTGGCTTGGCTTTAAGTTTTAAATGGATAAACAATACACTATGGTCATTAACTGTAGGTATCTTGCATGAGCATCATTGAATTCTACAATAACAAAGCTTGACATGGAGCAAAAATGTGTGTTGCCATCTAGATATTGAATCACTAATTATTAGGATTTTTTTTATTGAACTAGATCATCGTCTTATCAGATAAAATCATAGTTTTACTAGATCAGTCGAACTCCAATCTATTAAAAAGACTAATAACACGACAAAACCTCTTAGCATGAATCATCATTTGATACATATAAGGGGGACTTATGTATAGATTTTAATAGGTGAACTTATTGTTCAATAGGTTTTGTGAGAATTAATGGCATTAGTTATCAAACACTACTAAAAAACGTTACTAATTGTTAATTTTCAGCGATAGATTGGAAATTTTGTCACAAAAAATGTAACTAATTATAAGTTTTAGCGACGGTTTAAAAAAAGATGGCTACTATTAGCACCTAACTAATTTCTTTGGACTCTCATTTCTTTGAATCCACATCCTAAACTCTAAATTTTAATAAGATTTATTTGAACACTCCACTTAATACCAATTTTATCAATATTCATAATATCATCACACCCAAGTGCACACCCACCTAATCTTGCACACCCTCTCTTCTCCTTCTCTCAACAAACGATGAACGATTGAGAGACGATTGAGAACAACAAATAATTGAGAGACGAATCGACTTTCCCTCTCTTCTTCTTCTCTCATAAACAATGGTCTATTTCTCCTTGTCACCGTGAATAATGGTATCTCAGTCGGAAATCTCGTCAAAAATCTCTTTGACTTCTCTCAGGTAACCTCAACTTCCCATCACACACACACACACACACACACACACACACACATATATATATATTTGTTTATTTCGGGGTAAAACCCTCAATACAAGGGGGTTTTAGAGGAAAAACCTCAAAAAAAAAAAAAAACCCAAAAAAAAAAAAAAAAAAGAAATAGGGAAAAAATCCTACAAAATGGAACCATTCAACATTCCAATGCTGAACAAAATGTTTCTATTCAGCACTGTATTATTGAATTAAATGTTTCTGTTCCGCACTATTTATTGAACAGAACCTTACCAGTCGACAAATCAGTACCGAACCGAAAACGATTCAGAATCGTAAATGCAAGATAGATGAACTTACCAATGCAACGCCAACCTCATCAGAGTTGTTGTCATCGTCCTCCATTGCTCTATAAGTATCAACGAATGGTGAAAACGACCACAAATATAGAAACTTGGGGTCTATAATAGGTTTGTTTACAACGTTAACTGATTTGGAACACCAAACACATTTGAAACCATCAAATAAAATGTTAATTGATTAGGTGGTTTTAAATATTTTTCATAGAAGATGAATAAGTGTGTTTAGGATGGTGATGAAGAAGAATCCGGTTAGGGTTTAGGCTGGTAAGGAATATATATAGATGGGGATGGAGGTGAATGTACAATATTGCAGAGTGTCATTCTAATTATTTTCATTTGGTGGATGGTTGTTCCTTTAAAAATTGTCCTTTAATTTAATTTTACTTCAGGGTATAATTGTAATAAAAAAAAAAAAAAGAAAGAGAATTTGGAGGTCCAAAGAAATTAGCATCACTCTAAAAAAATGGTCAAAAAATAACTAATTTTTAACTTTCAGCAGTAGTTTGAAAAATTCGTCATAGAAAAATATCACTAATTGTAAGTTTTAGCAACAATTTATAAAAATCATGATCAAAAAAAAAAAAATCACCAATTTTTAATGATATATGCAAAGAATTGTCACAAAAAATTATTTTTAGCAACAATTTTACCAGGACTTATTTTTCAATAGAACTTAATGGGAATTAAATCTAACTATTAGGATCTATTGATAATTTACCCTATATATAATAGATCTGTTTGGTACAACTTTTTGTAAGTTGAAAGTTGATGATCAGAAACCAGAAGCCAAAGGCACCCCTCTCATAACTTTTAATTATTAGCTTATTTAAACTATTTCTGCCTGATAAACTATAAGTAGAAGTTACACTAAATAATCTGGCATGGACTCTCAAAAATTTAAAAAAAATAAACAAACATAGGTGGTGTTTGGGAAGTTTGTGTGTTGGGTTTTTTTTGATTTTTTTCACTATAAGACAAACTTTTTGCAAAACCAAAAAAAACAAATCCAAACAAAATATCACACCCAACCCCATAATCATTTTACTTTTTCTCTCACAAACATCACATCCAACCACAAAAAAACCCAACTATCTTCCCAAACACCAAAAAAATTTTCTCCAATAAAATTCTACAACTAAAAAAACCTACATAAAAACCCACTTCCCAAACACCCGCTATAAGCTACTCATGTAAGCTGCATCAGCCAGAATGTAGTGCTTAGTCATACTTTTTCTAGTCAACAAAGAAGCTTTAGTTGTAGTTCATATGGCAATCCCACTGAAGAACTAATTTGACAAAAGATGAAGCTTGTTTACACTTCAAAATTTTGTACTATTTCAAGTAAAAAACACAAAATAGACCCTCCTGAGTACTGGCTAAGCACTACCACCAAAAAAGGGAAGGAGACTACACCCTAAAGACTCAGAATTAGTAATTTTTGATGTACAAACAACTTTATTAATCTGATTCTATGCACGTAACTGAAGGCAGTGCTTTTTGAACTACAAAATACTGATAACTTTGTCTTCAGAGCTTATAATCCCATACTCGACAACAATTCATCGGTTAAGAAGTTGCTCTTATATCATGAGTTAATTGATAATCAAATATAGCCAAATCAACCAAACGCAAAACAAGCTACAGTAGATAAACACTCACCTCCAGCCAAAAGAAAAACCCACGCAAGAGATTCAATACTTTGCGTCGATCAAATTTGACTGCATTAATCTTCCTTTTAAGACCTGCCATGATTTAAAAATCAATAAATTATAAATAATAAAAAGGCCATCAAAAAAGTAAAATCGACTCAATTAGTAAAATATAAGAGAAAGAAAGGAAGAATAGCTGAAGAAATATATAACATTACTTTCTGAAAAAAAAAAAATTGTTTTTGGTAGTTAAGCATGTGATATATATAATGAACCAAGAAGAAAAAATAAATACAAGGGAAACCAAGGATTACCATATAAAAAAACATGAAGAAAGATATTGAGAAAAAGACAACAAACTAAGTGAAAGGAAAGAGAAATCATCACAATAGAGATGAATGTGATAAATCCAAGTTCGAAAGCAGTCATGGGCAGGTGTGAAATAGATACATAAATAACAAACAATCAAAACGTGAGGCAAAGCCAAATTTTCAGTTCAGCTCTAAGGATAAATCTCCCAAAGTGGTAAGCATATGATCACCAATATTCAGGTCACATCTTTTAACATTTGAAGATAACAAAAGATCCAATTTTTTTTTTTTTTTTAAATCTTGACAAGGGATCCAAACATATTTTTGAAGGCTTTTTTTGGTCAAACATCTAAGCCCATGCCAAACAGGTTAGACTTTTTGGGGCTAAAAGACAGGCTTTTAATTTCCAAACTAGGCCTGATAAAGCAATCTGCTATCATTCGGCTTTTGAAAAAGATATCAAAACCTAAACTGAAAAGGGGAAAATCATAACATTAAATAATGCAACACAATGGTTGTTTAGCACATCACACACATTCACATAAAGAATTGTATTTACACAAACACCAAAAAAACAAGATTAGAGGATAGATCAGGATGGTCAAGCCTAAAAAGTGATTGAAATATGACCATGACTAAAGCATAAAATGTGTGAGTTTGACAAAACATATGATCCAATTTGGGCTACTTTGTTCCTGATTTTGGATCCTCATGTTGTGACTGGATTGAATTGTGTTTGGACATGCCCAATTCAGTAATGAAACATTGTCCTCTGGGCTTGAGGCGGGTTACTGGTGACAAATGCAGTGAGGCCAACGTGGCAAGCAGCTCCACTTTGATTTGTGGTGGTGGTTTGGAATGAAAAGAATAGGTCTCCACTCAATGGAGAAAAGTTGCCAATTTTGAAGCTTAGCAAAAGATGTCCACCTTGGTTATTTGACTTATGGGAATCACATGTACAGGAAGGTATTGGAACAATAAGGGTACGTTGATATGGTAAAATCTAAAAAAATGGAGTACTAAAAAGTATTTATTTTTGATTTGAAATAATGCAAAAATTAGTTAAATAGTTTAGTTGGTTAAGATCCCACCTACCATCCACATTTACATGCCAAAAGTAATGTATAAATGAAAGTTAAATGTCATTATATTAAAATACCTACGAACCACGGCTTAATTTTAAAATCATGCTAAGCTAAGCATAGAAAAAAAAAATCTAATAAAACTAACTTCACCTCTGTATATAAGAAAATATTAGTCCTGCTAAGATACGGCTTGCATATATACTAGGTACCTCTAAGATACGATAAAAATTAAGAGAAAAAAGAAGCACATGTTTCATGTATCCGGTATGCATATAGAAGTACCATGCAAAGTATGCATATTTTTTGATGTACCCATGCTTCATTGCTTTACATACATGATTATGCCCTCTTGCATGCTATGCCAATAAAATCTTCTCATTTATCAAAGAAAAATGAAAGAAGCAAAAAGGATAGGTAACTTTGTTAATCATATTTGGCACTGATGCAACCATGTGATGTCACAATAAAATAACTCACCACTTAAAGTTAATGAGCATTCATGGAATTAAATTTTCACATTGTCTTATCTTATAATGGCTAAAAAAACTCAGAGAAGAATGACCATACAATGGTCACAAGATATCAGATCATTACAAGATTACACATGGAATGCTTATCCAGAAACAGGAATGTGAACTTCAATGACACAATAAAATCATAGAAGCTATTGAGAAAAGCAATATTTGACACTGGGTAATTACTCACCACTGTGGTGATTAGGAATCCAAAAATTCAGGTGCTTCACGGAAACAGTTAGTGAAATAAAAAAATAAAATAAAATAAGAAGAACGTTCGTAAATATAGTTTGCAACAATGAAGAATATCTCTATTCCCAACTTTAGCTAACAGTTTTGACTATGGAAGAATGGATGTCCATCATGTTCAACAAATAATCATAAAATTACACATTGAATAAAACCTACATTTTCAAATAAATACAGTTCTTTCTCTGAAGTTGCATAAGTATATATTCTCTAATCTGGTGGTTTTGTGACTGTTACACCATACCACAAGTGTAGTGTCACTCAAAATAGAATAAATCAGAGCACTTCCAATCACCAGAAAAACCTGTATGTGGTATTCAACTTACTCATATGCCGATCAAGATAAGACAAGTTGCATTCATCCTTCAAGTATGATTTTAATGCTGCAGGTCCACGTAAATCTCTATGGCGTCCATCCATCTGCTTCCGCCCATTTATAAGTCGACAAAGTGTTTCATATTCCTCGTTGTTATATGGTTCTCTGAGTTTAGCCACGAGCTTATCTCTGAACTCAGAATGATTGCCTGTATCAAGACTTCCAAGGAACTGCAGCTCATCTTCTTGCATCTTTACAAATGCAAAAAAAAATTAACCATCTATCAAACCAGGGTAATCCCCGGAGCCCCCCCTTCCAAGCTTACCTAATTTAGAGTATTTTGCTAAAAATGTAAGAAAACAAATCAAAATTACACCATAGAGGAGGTTACTTACAAATGAATCAATTTGTTTTGAAGTTTTAAATGGGTTAAAGTTTCCTTTATTAAGATCAGAAGCATTATATGTCATAAATACTTCGGAATCAGAACAACTTTCAACTTTATGTCCTTCACATATCACATCCCACGGGCGGGCCTACAAAAAAAAAATTATACATACGTAAATCAGTGTAATTTTTTTTATTTTGAACACCCTAGTGCACTCCATTGAATACCCAGTTAGCTCATACCACTTTGTTGAATACCCAATCCATAACCTACTAAATCTTATATATTAATAACTGTAACAATAGCTTTATTATCATCTAAAAAAATTGCATGACCAAATAAGAGATCAGTAGATGAATGATTATTTGATTACATACATTAAAAATGATGTATATGATAGTTTGATAACAAAAATACTATGAAATGATTTCAAAATATGAAATATCATCGAGAGTAATTGTAATCTACTTGTTTATTGTTGGAACAATGCTATCAATATATTAGAATACTTTTGGTATGTTTAAGAAATTTAAATTTGTGAATTTGAAAAGCATAAGTTTTTGAGATTGGGTTTGACAGTACTTTTTTGCTTTTTAAAGATAAAGTTGTAGCTAAAAAAGCTAATGTGTTTGGCAAATGCTAAAACAACTAGCTTTTTATTACTAGGAAAGTCCACATAAGTTGATGTGTTTTTTTTAATATTTTTTGTCAGTACTATTTTTTTAAAAGATAGTTTTCAATTTTTATTTTTTTTTACTTTTAATATCTTGCCAGACTAGAAAGACTTAAAAAGCAGAAAAAAACAAATTGAAAAAAAAAAATCACTAAAGAAAAAAAAATTGAAAAAAATGTTACTTTTTAGCAGTTACCCAACATAGATGAATCTTGTTAATTCCCTTCCCCCCCTCCTCTCTCAATTGCTGACTAAATAAGCTGAAAACAAATTATTTGGTTTTTTATTTTTATATAGCCAAAAAGTGACAAAAAATTGTAGCCAAATAGGGCCTGAAATGGTCTACCTTGATAAAAATTCCTGGATCTGCCATTGTCACCTGTTCACCGGCTTTCATTGCAAGAACTGTGCAATCACCTTCCTCTTTGCTCAAATTCAGTAAAGTCTGATAGTCTTCATCCATCACTATACTAGTTTCGGTTCCTTGCTCACATTCAGTCTTGAAAAAATGATTTGCAAGAATCATGCAATCACCTTCCTCTTTGCTTAAATTCAGGAATGTCTGGTAGTCTTCATCCATCACTATATCAGCTTCCGTTCCATGCTCACATTCAACCTTGAATAAATGATTTCTGTTTGTCTCACTAGAAACATGATTTACTTGTTCAGAGTTCAAATCCTTCTCCAACAGCAAATCCCTTCTTTCTATTCCTATGGCATTCGTCTTATTGTTTGAGGGATCCAACATATCTTTGCTCACAACATACATTGGATTGTCTTGGGTTTTTATATTGTCTTTTCTTGAAAGATTCCTCAAGTCTTTTTTCGTTTCCATAATCATTGTATCTGGAACTTTCATCAATTTTCTCAGAGTGGGTAACTCACGCTCGTCATCCAAATCAACCTCTACTTCATACTTTCTACGTAAAGACATTTTAATATTAATATCAACTTCAAGCACATAAGATTTTCCATCTTCTTTCAACTTCTCCAAGAACATCTTATACTGAGGGTCTGCACGGTCATCCTCATCACTGCGATCACCATCATCCCTCTCTTCTCTCACAGAATGCCTAAATTCACTATTACCTGGTAAATGGTAAAGAAATCTCTTGTAATCCTCATCCATTCCATCACCATCACCATCTCCATCATCCCTCTCTTCTCTCACAGAGTGCCTTAATTCACTTTTTCCAGGCCTCTCTTCCCTCACAGAGCGCCTAAATTCACTCTTTTGCACTCTTTCCTGATAAATTGTAAAGAAATGCCTTGTAATCCTCATCCATTCCATCACCATCACCACCATCCCTCTCTTCTCTCACAGAGTGCCTTAATTCACTATTTCCTGGTAAATGCTTAAGAAATTTCTTGTAATCCTTATTCATTCCATCATCCAACCGCTTGACTTTTGAGGTCCTCCGCAATGTGTCACTGCAAGTATTAATATCAACATCCCAGAAATCAAACCGCTTTCTCTTCAACTTCCTTGCCAATCCCTCATCATACACAAAATCAAAATCAGACCCACCAATGCTCCCCATTTTGGCCCACCAAATCAAAATCAGGCACCTTAATTAATGAAACCTTGTCTCCCTATTTTCCCCCCTTAACCAATCCACACTATAAACTTGATGGACAGAAAAAATCTTTCTGGTAGAAGAGGCAAAAAATAAATAAATTTAAGGTTAGATAACAAAAAAATCAAGCAATAAACTCAAAAATAGGCATTTCCGAAGTTGCACGTATCAAGATATATAATTTAAATTTAAAATAAAATAATAAAAAAAAGAAAGATCTTCAACTGTTTGCTAAAACCCAATTTGCATGACATCCGAACGGTAAGAAAGCAACTTTACCCTTTTTTTCATAAAATCTTATTAAAATTTTCCAAATTTATCAACCAAAAAAAAAAAAAAAACTTGTTTTGACCATTTTTGATTAAAGAAAACCCAACTCCAATCCTTACTCTGATTAAAATTTCATCAAATCTGAGAAAAAATATGAATGTTGGGAATTTAGTGAAGGATTTAGTTCTTGATTTGGTGAAAAAATTGCCGATCCATTTGACTTGATAAAATGGTTAGAGCAGATTTTAGCATTTTTTTTCATCAAAATTAAATTTGATAAAAAAAAATGTAAGAAGGGTTGAAGATTGGTGCAAGAAGAGTCACAAACAATCGATGATACAAGTTCTACATTCATACTCGTATAAGCATACATTCAATTCTTGATAAGTATATGTATATGCAGAGAGAGATTGAGACATACCAGAAGAGTGAGAATTGAGTGGGAGAGAGAATCGCGCTGTCTGTGAAGGGGGTGTATAGTCCACTCCCCATGGCATCAGGCACCTCGTCCCTCTCGAACACAAGTGTTGGGATTCTCTGTGATCCTCTTGTTAGTTTTTCACTCATGAGAATTGATTATTTTAGTTTTTTTTTTTTAATTTTTTACTAAAATAATATGTAGAAAAATAAAAAAAATATGTGATAATTTATAAATATGGCATCTCTTTTGTTTATATCTGACTTGAAGGTGCTATTAAGCTTTCGTGGACTCGTTACAGCACTCGCATTGATAATCTAAATCATTTAATGTGTACAATTCGTTAAGCATTTAATTATTATAATAATCACTTGATTAGATTAAATTTGTATTAATCATATATATGATTTTTTTAAAAAAATTATTAATACAAATGTGATCTAATTAAGCGGTTATTGATATCCAATCAATGTAAATTTTAATAAAAATAAAAAATTTGACAAGCCTTACATATTCAACGGTTCATACTATCTATGCGGGTTTCATGGTCGGCCACGAAAACCCAACAACACCTTCTAAGGCTCCGTTTGGCAAGAGCTAAACGGGACTTTTTTGACTATTTTAGCCACAAAAGACAAAATAGACTATTTTAACTACAAAAAACAAAATATCACATCTAACCCATAATCATTACATTCTTCTCTCACAAAAAAAGTCAAAAAAGTCCTTCCCAAACCAAACTTTTTAACCCAGGCTAAAATAGCCAAAAAACCAAAAAGCCAACGTACTTCCCAAATGGAGGCTAATTAACTTATTGTGATTTTTTTATGATTGACTTTTTAATTTTTTAACCAAAACTTCTAAGACTCCAAACGGCTACAACCATTAATGACCTAGATTTAATTTTTAATATCAAAATAACGTAGTTTTGATTTACAAATTTTAAGAATCAAATAAAACAAAAATAAAAGTGTAGTTGGGAAAAAAAAATACTGTATATGAAATGGTAAAATTACCCCCATTCGATTGTATATGTTCTAATATGATTTTAATAAAAATATTCGGGAAAACATTAATAGGGTTGGGAAAATTACAGGATAGGAATGTTTTTTAAGATTAGAATAAAGTATAAAATTATATTATCAAAATAATTGAATACAAGATTAGATTAGAATAAAATATGAAATTATATTATCAAAATAATTGAATTTGAAATTTAAAAATTGCAGAAAAAATCCGACCCGTATTGGAAGCCCCGCTTTTTGACCAGCTGAAATTTTTATTTATTTTAAAAAAAACGAAAAACAAAACTGGATTGTTTTGATAATAATATTTTAAAATTAGATCTAAACCGTTCATTATTGTCTATGCTAATGTGTCTAGCTGTGATTAAAACTACAATGATATTTCGTTTGACAACCGAACTTTTTAGGTAAAAAGATAAAAAGTTATTAAAAATTAGTCAAAAAGTCAACAACTCATAAAAAAAAGTCAAAAATTCTCTTTTTTCTCTACTTTTTGCACATCTTTTCGTAAAAAGTCAAAAAGTCATCCCAAACATACTAGTTTTTTTTAGCTCATATTTTAGCTAAGTAACTAAAAAATTACTAAATTAGCCTGTTCCGAAACGAGCCCTTAAAAGAATCATTTGACAAGAAGTTAATTCAGTTAAAAAAATCCAAAAAAAAATCACTTAAAAAATTTAGGACAAATTTCAAAAAAAAAAAAACTTCAAGATTTTATGTATTTTTTAAAATTAAATCTCAATATTTCAATTGCATCAATTTAAACTATGAATTTTTTTATTTCGTATCAATGTTAACCATCTGTCTATCTCTGTTAACTTATTTGACAAAAAAAAAAAAACTAATCCACACATGACACATTATCATTCATTCATTTCACTTAATATTAATCTTATATCTATTGGAATAATCTTCTGTGTAAATTAAATAATAAAACAAATCAAACAAATAAAATAAATTACTTACCAAATCGAATAAATAATTAAAAGATCAAGTCGAGTGTGTGACACTCTATCCTTAAGACAGATTCGCCCCGCTACGGTACTTACGGACAAATAACGTCTATCTCTCAGGATACAATAATCTTCTTAAATTGTAGTAGCACTCCAAACAATTTGTACGGCGAACCAAACTTGTGTTCTATACTCTCAAAGTATTCCCTAAAAAATATATATGAAGAATTATGCAAAGAAAGAGCAAAATGGAAAGAGAACAGATTTTTCCTAGATATTTTTCGGATGTACAACACTGTTGGAATGATCTCTTTATATAGACAAACATGTGGTTGTTGGGAAGAGCCGAACATGTATGAAACCAACCTGAACATGTGTAATTTCGAATTGAACAAATACAAATTCAAACTGGACAGCTCTGTTGGCAGTTTTGGATCTGTAACTGCTAGGCAGCTTTTAACACTGTTAAAAACAGTTTGAACTGCTAGAATTCGGACTGGAAGAGGTAACAAATGGACAGAAAAATTAAATTCAAATTTGGCACAAAATTTGAATTAATTTCGTTAAGAATTTTGAAAAAAATTCAAATAAATTTTTTCCAATAAATTAATATTAGAACCGACTTGACCTACAATCCACACTCGCGTCTAGCATGGCTCGGCCGGACAGTGGTGGCGGCGGGCGCGCGCGAGTGGTGGTTTGACCTATGGTTTAATTTGTCCATAACTCATCCCTTCTACAAACTTGGGATGCCCCTTTATGGTTTAATTTGTCCATAACTCATCCCTTCTACAAACTTGGGATGCCCCTTGGGGTCCAACCCAAGTGTTATCATCTAGAACTTATATACACACATAAGTTCTCTTCAAGTTTCAATGTGGGACAAGCCTTACAAGGAAATCCACATTTATTCTTTAATTGTCCAATTTCATGAACCCGAAAATTACGTCAAGTTCCCATTCATTCATAAATGGTTTTGACGAACCGTTTGCACTGCGTAACTCGCTACGCGGTAAGGAACGCGTCACCTCTTTGGACCCACCTCAAAAGACGTGTGGACCCTACCCAAATTTGGGCTCAAAGTTGGCCCAAAATAAGCCTATAAAAAACCAAATTTCCAACAATTCCCCATATGAATGGAATTTGATGGAGAAAAAATGCAACAACATGATCTAATTTTAGAGAGTACAAAAATTGGAAATATTCTGCAAAGGATAGGTAGCTTTTGGCTTGAACCTTCTCTTGTGAAACACTATCGGATTTTCTAGCTAACCAGTGAACATGATGTTTTGAATTGTTCAGCCATTTGTGTAAAACAAGACAATAGAACTCACACAGTAGTATATTACCAAATACAGTTTAGTTCTCACTATTGTGTTCATTTTGGCCCTGAATAACCTGGTCTTTCATGAGTGCTCTAAAGAATTGTAACCCTTCACAAATCTCATAGAACCGGCACAGCTCACACTCATATAGGTGATTTTTATGAAGAGTATCTTACCATACTCCACTGGGTTTACCTAGATATAAGAATCATTAAAATTTTACTTTACCTAAAACGCTGCAGACATCACTATTTCATTATAGAAATGGATTGGAGTTTGACTCCCCAGTGATCCTTATGAGTTATACACAACTCGGTTATCCCTTTGAACCTAGATCTTGGGATCTCCAGTCAACTAGGTTGGGTTGCCGTTATGACAACTCTTATTTGATAGGCTTAAGTCCCATTCCCTTCAATGAATTTTCAACTAACTCTCTTGCTAACCCTTTGGTTAGTGGATCCGCTATGTTATCTTTAGATTTCACATATTCAATGGAAATAATTCCATTAGAGAGTAGTTGCCTCACGGTGTTATGTCGACGACGAATGTGTCGTGACTTACCGTTGTACATATGACTCTGTGCTCTACCAATTGCTGATTGACTATCACAATGTATGCATATAGCAGACACCGATTTTGGCCACATTGAAATATCTTCAAGGAAGTGGCGAAGCCATTTTGCTTCTTCTCCAGCTTTATCTAAAACTATAAATTCTGATTCTATAGCAGACCTACCAATGCAAATCTGTTTGGAAGTTTTCCAAGATACAGCCGCCCCACCAAGAGTAAAGACATACCCACTGATGGATTTTGAGTCTCTAGTATCCGATATCCAATTTGCATCACAGTATCCTTCAAGTACTGCTGGACATCTAGTATAATTAAGCTCAATGTTACGAGTAAATCAGACATATCTTAGAACCCTTATAATTGCTTTCCAGTGTTCTACTCTTGTATTACTCGTATATCTACTTAATTTACTTACTACATAGGCTATATCTATGCAAGTGCAGTTCATCAAGTACATTAAGCTTCCAATAATTTGGGCATACTTTAATTGAGAAATATTTTCCTGTACATTCTTAAAAAGAAACACATTAACATCCATAGGTGTTTTAGCAAGATAATCATCATCTTTGCTGAATTTGTTAAGTATTTTCTCAATGTAATGAGATTGTGATAAAGCATATCCTTCTGATGTTTTGGTAATTTTCATACCAAGAATTATATCAGCAATGCCCATGTTCTTCATGTCAAAATGTTTATTCAATATTTTCTTGGTAGTTCAATCATTTCATTATTATTACCTATGATGAGCATATCATCTACATAAAGACATACTATAACATAACCGTAGTTTGTGTTTTTAATATAAATACATTTGTCACATTCATTAATTTTGAATCCATTTGACATAATTGCTTTTTTAAATTTCTTATGCCATTGCTTTAGCGCTTGTTTTAAACCATATAATGATTTAACCAATTTACACACTTTCTTTTCTTTTCTTGGAACAGAAAATCCTTCTGGTTGTTCCATGTAAATTTCTTCATCTAATTCACCATTTAAGAAAGCGATTTTTACATCAATTTGATGAATTTCTAGATTGTACAACGATATAATAGCAATTAGCATTTTAATGGATATTATTTTAGTAACTGGCGAGTATATGTCAAAGTAATCAAGACCTTCTTTTTGTCTAAAACGTTTGACCACAAGTCTTGCTTTGTATTAGTCAATTGATCCTTCCGCTTTCATTTTTCTTTTGAAAATCCATTTGTACCCAAGAGATTTAACCCCTGGTGGCAAATCCATTAATTCTCAAGTGTGATTTTGTACGATGGATTCAACTTCACTAT